CATAACTAAAAAGTTTTTTTGTTTTTATTTTAAATTAATTTTAGATTTATAGTATAGTTTCAAAAATAGTATAGAGAGTTTTGGTATACCACTCACCTAACTTCCCCTACTACACTATCTATACAATTATCAAAACTAGGAAATAAAGTTTAGTACAATAATATTAACTAAGCCATAGATCTTATTGGAATATTACCGCTTTTTCTTCTAATGCCCTTTTTCTGTTCCAGGATCCCATCTAGGATTCCACATTGGTTGCATTTAGTTATTCTTTGTCTCTAATATGTAATAGTTTCTCTGTCTGTCCGTGTCTTTTGTGATAACCAATGATGTTTGATTCTTTTGGTTATGGAGACGGAGTTTCATGTATCTTCTTTGACCACCTTAATGGCCAACAAATACAGTCCTTAACTTCTCATTCTTTGAGGAACTCTCTGATCTTTAAGGCAGTTTCCTTTAAATTTCCATTGTCTTTGATCTTCTCTGTGAATTTCCCCCTTTGTTTTCTGTATACCCCGCCCCCCAATCCTAATAAACAGTTTTAAAAAACAAATCTTAGGTCAGTCTACATGCTGCACAGAGTGAATGATAGATCAGAGAGTGAACCCTGTGATTTGTAAAGCCAGCCTGTGCCTTTCCACCCACACCTCTCGCCCCCCACCTAGCTAAGGCCCAGCTCACTTCCACTGTGAAGCCTTGCCTGCCACTTCTAGTCTGTGCTCCCCCCAGGTCTTCACTTACACCTCTGTGATAGCACTTATATTGTAATTATTTGTTTACTTGTTTCTTCCTCCATGAGGCATGTTCCTTAAGTCTAGGCAGTCTTTCTTCACCTAAATGTCCTGTGCCAGCAAAGTTCCTAGTAGATGGCAGAAAATTAGTATTATGTGTTAGGTTAGATTAACATGTCCTTCTATGTAAATAAAAAAAAAGAAGAGGCTGGTTCACACAAGATTTTTTTTTTTTGAAGTTAACCACTGTAAAGACTACTTATACACCCTTGCTCTTGCCCCTTAATTTTTTAGTCTTTTTAAAGATGACTTGCACTTTTCACAAATTATGCCTTTTAAGGGTGTTTTTGCACCCTGACTGGTGTGCCTCAGTGGATTGAGTGCCGGCCTGCAAACCAAAGGGTCGCCGTTTCGATTCCCAGTCTAGAGCACATGCCTGGGTTGTGGGCCAGGTCCCTGGTGGGGGACGTGCGAGAGGCAACCACATATTGATGTTTCCCTGTCTTTCTCCCTCTTTTTCCATCTGTCTAAATAAAATCTTTTTTTAAAAAGCTTTAAAAAATAGAAGGAAAACTATGTATTTTTTAATCAATACCGTTTAAAATAAATTTCTGATGAAAGGAAAAATTATTCCTATAAGCAATAACATGGATGAATTTCACATGTATTATGCTAAATGAAAGAAGCTGTACTCAAAAAGTTATTGTATGGTTCCATTTATGGCATTCTGGAAAAGGTAAAACTAGAGAAAACTGATCAATGTTTGCCAGGGACTATACGAGGTCTGTCCAGAAGGTGTCCAGCCATGTAATGTGAAAAATAGAGACATTTATTGACGAAGATACAAGAAACTGTACATAGGACAGTGATACCTCAGTCCCCGTCAAAGTAGGCACCTGGGGGGGACCTCACACAGTTTTCCAAGGCACCATTAGCTGTCCCATATTTTCCTGAATCTTACCAAAGGTCTGAAATCTCTTCCCTTTCAAAGGGGATTTTAGATTTGGGAAAAGCCAGAAGTCACAGGACACCAAATCTGAGCTGTAGGGGGTGCTGAGTCACCCGGGTGATTTAATCTTTTGCCAAAAAACTCGGCCCAAGATGTGATGCATGAGCGGGTGCGTTGTCACGAAGCTGCCAATCACCAGTTGCCCAGAGCTGCGGCCTTCTGAATCATCCAAATAGTTTCTGCAGAGGAATGTTCAGGCTTAAAGCAAAATTTGATGCAGATCTGTTGCTCTACTCACCCAATCATTTTGAATGCTATTGGCCACACAGTACACATGTTCACTCAACGGTGTCTACTGCCTCCACTGACTAGTATGGTTAAGTCGTCATTGGTCACGCATGTGCATTCCAGTCCACTCTCCTTGGCTGCCCGGTTACATTGATGTCATGCAAACTGTTCTTATATTAACAATGGCTGTACTTTTTCCAGACAGATCTCATATATTGACTGTGGTGGTGGCTACCCTATGATATATTTTGTTAAAACTGGAAGAACTGTATACCAGCATGGGTGAATTTCACTTTATCTTAATATTTTATTTATTTTTTAAATGAAAAAGGGAGGGGGAAAGTCCTAATTAGGTTGGTTGTGTTACTAGACTCCTAATAAATCTCCCTTTAAAATATTTTTTAAGTATTAAAAAAGTTTAAGTCCTTTCTGTAAATACAATATGGTGGTTATGTGAATCTATGTATGTGTTAAAATTTATGGATCTGCATATCAAAATAAAATTAAAAACATGCATAAACAGCTCTAGAATACATAAGAAACTGGTGCTAGAGGTTAAATCATCTTAGCTGGTGATAAATTTTGGGACAATTCTTTTTTGATTTCAAGCATGGTTGTCCTAAATTAAATACTTTAAATGCTTAGTTACTTTTAAAATAGTACCCAGTTGTTGGTAGGATGAGATTCTTTTATCATTAAATCATATAGACCCCTGTCAGGGCACATGCCTCCGTTGAGGGCCACGTCTTGTGAGAGGCAACCAGTCGATGTTTCTCTCGCACATTGATTCTCTTCCTCTCTTTCTCCCTTCCTTCCCCTCTCTCTAAAAATAAAAAATAAAATCTTTTAAAAAATCATATAGAGCTGTGGAGTGAAAAAAAGAATTATGAGATTTGGCTGAACATTGGTGTTCTATAATTGTGAGGTTTCAGTTAATGTAATATTGAATGTTTATCATGTAGGAATTTAGAAGTATTTCATAGTTAACACCTTTTAAGTAACTTAATTTTTTAAATGTTGCAATAGAAGTTAAAATGACAAGAGGCAGATGTTATTTTTTAAAAGATCACTTAACAGAATATTGAAGATTAAGACAGATTTTCAGGATTGATAACTATTTTTTTTAGTATTTGTTGATGATTGCTTTTCCTCAGTATTGGAAGACCTGCTCTTAACTGCTGTTTTACTTAGGAGTTGCTTTTTTTGTCTTTGAAAAATCCATTCCTGTCTTGTAATTCCTTTCTTCTTTTGGAAGGATTTACTGCACAATTTTATTTTTATTTTTAGTATTTTTATAGTGGTAAAATACACATAACATTTATCATTTTAACTATTTTAAAGTGAACAGTTCAGTGGCAGTAACTACACTGACAGTGTTTCAGGACCATTATCATTAGCATTATCTAGTTCTAGAACTTTTTCTTCACTACCACACAATTTTAGCACCTAATTATTCTCTAATGTTCAGCCACTATATTAAACCTTGGGGGTTGTAAGAGGTATACAAGACTCAGTTCTTGTCCTAAAGGATTAGGATTTCATAGTCTGATGAGAGAAGCAAGTAAACATGTTTTATGATACAGTGTGGCAAATTATGTTAGAGCTCTCTATGGTTAAAATTTATTTATTCAACTAAAAATTTACCTTGGAAAAATAGGTATCTTTTTGTTAGGTTAACATTGAAACTGTCATACCACTACACACACTGAGTTAGTTTAGGCTAGACTGAAGTCTAGCCTTGATTCATGTCAATTCAGGACTCAAATCCTCACGCCCTTTACTTTGTAGCAAGTAGGTAACCAGAAAATTGATTTTCTGATTTAAAGCCAGATTACTAATTCTTCCTTTTAGTGGAGCAGGGAGATCAGGGGGAAAAAAAAAACCACAGTTAGAACTTCTGGTTGTCTGCACCTATTTTCAATTGAAGTGTTTTTGATTTAGTCTATTTGCAATGATAGCTTGCCTGACTGTGGTCAAATATAGCACTGTACAGGCATGTTTATCTCTCTTGGTAAATTATTTGAGTAATAGCTGCATTGGGAGTACTGTGTCAAGAGATTGTGTATTTGAATTCCTTGAATCTTGGGAGTTAAGTCTTGATGATTTAAAATGGAATGTTTTAGCCGTTTCAGTTAAAAGCAATGTTACCAACATTGAACAGTATTAGGAATTTTATTTGCATTCTTCTATTACTATGACATATTATTCTTTAGTACAAGATTGTTTATGAAAAGTAAAACATAATATGGCCCTTTGGTTTTAAGATTCTGTAGTCTTCCTAATATAGTTACTCTAAGAAAGCTGATATCCCTAATGGTTGGTAGTGTTTTAGTTAGTAATTTCAATGCTTGTCTTAAGAAGAGGTCGCATTAATCGCATTACTAGACTCCTAATAAATTGTTTAGATCTTTTAGAAGTCTGAATGTGTGGTCCAGTTTTGGTTGTTTGTTAAAAGAGTGAAAAGTTAAAAATAGCGCCGCATTTGATTGCTTTTGAAATAATAACTGTAGTCTTATTTTTTCAGGGTAATCACTTTGATCAATATGAAGAAGGACATTTGGAAATTGAACAAGCATCACTTGACAAGCCTATTGAATCGGTAAGATGATCACTGCTTAATTTTGGGTCATAGCTAGCTAGTTAGGTAGTGTTCGTGTGACACTTGATGTGAATGAAGTTAAACTTATAACTTATAGTACAGTCTAGAGCTATTTTCTTGCATGCCTGACAGTAATCAAATAGAGTTTGGGGTATAATCTGATATTTAATATGTTGGGATATCAGCCTGAAAAATCTAGAAATAATTTAGAATTTTGATTAAAAATATCATTTTGGCCCATTCTGTTACATATAGCAGGTTAAAAGTTTAGTGTTTTTCTAAATTGAATAAAGGAGTAAAATGTATTTTGATCCTTTAAAACCTTCACTTTTCCTGGGCAACACATTCATATATTGTTCCATTAGGAATAGTTAAGGACTAACACATTTTATTTACCAGACTCTTGTGAAACATTGTAAATTTGGTTTCTGTAGCTTAAGAGATGTCTGGGTTCTGTCAAAAGTTGATTCTTTCTTTCTGTCTCTTTACACAGATTAGTTTGGGATATTGATGCAAAGCAATACAAAAAGGAGATTTATTTTTATGACTCAAATTTTTTTAAAATCTTCATTTTTGAACATTGTTTTCCTTTTGAGAAGCCCTTTATTTTCTAATTACACAGTCCATTGTTAAAATGTCTAAACTTGTCAGTATTGTCAGTACTTAATATTTGTGCTTAAGTGTACATATTTAATATAAGGGTTTTAGTGAGTTATTTGAGCTTGAGGGAAAAATGATCAAAGAGGGAGTCTCAGTCTTTTCAACAGTCAAGATACCCCTTTTCTCCCTTTAAGAAACACTGGGTCCTTCCCCTCCCTCAGGAAAATAAGGCGATTTAGAGAGCACAGATATTTTTATTTTAGCTTTTATTTTCACAACTGTAATATAGTAAAGGATCAACATATATTTATGTTCCTAATTAGGTTGGTGTTGTGTGTTTGTGTGTGTGTGTTTAGATGTTTACAGAAATTTACACAACTTGGGGTGTTCGACATTTTTCTTCCACAGCAGTTGGCCCATATTAGCTAAGCAGCCATGATCTGGTTTGTATTGCACGGTCTGCCTTTTTTTTTTAATTTCTTCTCTAGGGTTTCTTTCTCCCCCACTTCCCCTTCTTATTTCTGTTCTTCTGGTCCAGTGAACACTGCATATAGTATCTTCTGTCTTAACGTGCTGGCATGATGCTAGACTTAGGCATGGCAGTAATTGATGACGCATGTGATAATGCTGCAGAGGGAGAATTCACATCTGATGTTATACTCAAAGCCCAGTCTTGTTTTGACTTAAGGATAAACGCCAAGCCCATTTTGCTCAGTTAAAAAAACCACTGAAGTTTTTGCCTTGTTCTGTATCATCTTGAGAATTACTGCAAGGCAGAATTTTACAGTGAAATCTGTAGGCTAACTAGCTCAGTATCTTGTACTTGAAAAATCATTTCATTTTTCTATTTTAATTTAAATTTTTGGGGGGTCAAAGTTTAAGAACAGAACTTTCAGAAGCAAGGTCCAAGTACCATATTCTACACTGTACATGGTTGGTTAATACTCTTACACAGGCTAGAATTCTGTGGTACTCTGACTTAACAGTTATAGGAAATTTAATTAGACTAAGTTTGCAACATAGTATTTATTACCACTATACTCAACAAAGATTTTTAAAAAGCACTAAATTAAATGATGTCTAATATTTTACACCACCTTTTAGTGCTAATTTTAAGGGTGGGTTTTTTGTTTGTTTTTTTTTGGAACATTCATTCCTTTGGCATGTGAGGCTAATGCACTTTTTCCTCTCACATTGTCCAGGATTTTTTCCAGCACATGTCATAGGGAGAACACTATCAGAAAACAGTCTGACTGAATAATCATTTTTGAGTAATGTCTGTGAGTAGCAGTGGAATTGCTATATGTCTCATTTACTGAGTAGTATTGCCTTCCCCACTTAAAATATCAAATGATACAGAATTCAGACTGTATATTTAATTTTTAAATAAATAAGCATATATTCAGAGAGATATATGAATAAATTATACTTCTAATATAAGTTTACTCCTGAAATAATATAAATATACGTATTATTTGTGCTGTGGTAGTTTAGGTAGGAGGAGCTTCATAGCCTACATTATGTTAAATAGAGGTGTTAGATAGATAAGATATGAGGGATATTCTGTTATCATATTTGGGGGTAAATTTAGTTTTTAAAGACACTCTTAAAATGATTGGCTTTAAAGTAGGTAATGTGGTATCCCTACTCCGTCCCCACCCCCCCCAAAAAAAGTGTCCTATAACCTAAGGAATACCTACCAAGTAGGTGTATATTAGTTTTATGGCTGGCTGGCTATACTGAGCTGTCTTGTTCTAAGGGGGGAAATAGTTGCTTTAAACACTCAGAGTCTCTGCTGAATTAAAATCTTTCTCTGCAGCAATATCTATGAGAGGTGCTGACTGTTTTGCTACAGCATGCAACTCAAAAGTGGCTGGAAATATGCAGCTTTGGGAGTCTACAGATCATTGCAGGAGCTAAAGGTCTAGTCATTTTTTTTTTATTTAACAAAGGTAATCTGCAGCAGCTGGTAACCGTGGAAGTCTCTGCACAGGTTTGTGCCAAGAATTTGCCTGTTTGAAGGGTTATTGTGAGTATAGGATTAAGGTCTTTTTGTTTTGTAATAGGGTAAATTTGTTGCAAACCAGCACAATGGGAAATGAGATATAAGATGCAATAATGCCTTATGCTTTTAGTAAACTTCTGAAGCTCCATTTGTTAGTGAGATGATACAGGTATTTTAATTTCAATCAGGAAATGTTGAAAGCACTTAAAAATCTCACATTTGTAAAGTATTTCATCATCTTTGTTACACAGTTGTATTTTCACCAACGGTATATCTTTCAGTAAAATTTCTGGTCAAGAATAAAATACTGTTCTCTGAAAATTGTGAAAATCAATAGATAATTTGATGATATGAATTAAAGAACAGGTGGAGAGTGTTAACATTTTACCCTTATTACAAAAAGCTTTATAGAACTTGAATTTAAAGTTATTGCTTTATGAGATTTTTAGGTCCCAGCTATAATAATTATGACCTTCCCATACTTAAAGATAAAATACTTAGAAAACAAAACTTAATCTAAAGGCATAGCTCGCCCAGTCCAGGATTCCACCATAGTTCTAAGAATTGATTGGTGTGATTCAGGATATATGGTTCTGTATGACCTTTACCACAGAAAGAAGACAAGAAATCAGATGGGAAAGTGATTATAAGTTATACATGAAGCAGAATGCTTGCATCATAGACTTAAACTGTATTTTCATTGTTGTAGTAGGGAGTAAAACTACCTATCAACAAATAGTTGATCTTTGTGTTCTACCTGACTGATTAAAATCCTGTATTTATAGTTGTCAGGTTGACAAAGCAGGTTTTAAAAATTAATGTAAGTTTTCAAACTCCAGTTGCTAATATTCACTAGGGATTTAGAAGCCTATGTGTAATTGGGTTTTGTCCTGTTACATATCTGTTTAGATCTGTGGACTCCACTAGTTCCAAACTGTAACTCTGTAAGACTGCTGATTTGACATTTAGCAGTGACCATATGTGGACTGCACTATAAATAATGTGCTTCTTGGAGCTGAATGGTGTAGCATTACTATATGGTTTTCTCTCTAGTCTTCATTGTGTCATCTGTAGTGAGCTATAGATTTTTTTGTTTTGGGAATTTTTACAACTTGTTTGCATGGGTTCACCTTAGTAGCATTTGGTTTTTGCTTATAGAGTCTTTTAATACACAATCAGCAAAGCTTACAATCCACTCAAGAGACTTAATCATTTTTGTCACTGTTGAATATAGACTAAATGATGTAAATTGAATGTGGCTGTCAACTAAAAATTTAATGTGGAATTAATATTATTTCAGTCATTGCCATAACTGTAGTACAGTTCCTCTTGAGACATGATTGCTATTCTAAAACTTTGAGTGAGCCCCATATGGAGTAAAGTAAATTTTTATCTGTTTTTGATAAACTCGCATTGTACAGATTGGTGGTGCTATTGCCAGAAGGATTGTTGTTGCTCTGAATAGTACACGGCTTTATGGAGCAGAGCAAAATCTCCCAGGAAAGTTTTCTGCCTGATATTTAATGAATAGAAATGTTGAGAGATGACTGAAAGAATTAACAATGGTTTTTAATTTTTTTCATTTAAAAATTTTTCACTTTAAAATACTGGTAGCTGTTTAGAATACACTTTTGAAAAAAAATCTTACTTAAAAATTATATTTTCATACATATGTTAGAGGAGAACAAAGGATAAAAATGTAACATTTTAATTTTACATTTAACTTCTGAACTGGGTGGGGGGAACATTTTAAAAACTAACTAAGGTAATCTAGGAAAAAATAGTTTGGGTTTTCAGCTCAGCTTCATAGTTTAACCAAAATTGAGAAGAACTTCATGCTTAACCAAAGAAAATGCCACCCTGCCACCATTTTGGAGTTTTGAGCATAGACAGTAAGTAACAGGTTTTGGAAACCAGCTTTTTGCCTACCACCCTTGGGCAAAATTCAGTTGCTTTATTTATTATTTTACAATTAGTATTTTCCTGTAGTTCTTCCATGTGCATTTAAATTAGGCTCTCATGCCCCTTGGTTAGTCATAAACCAGGCTGTGATTAAAAAGGGAAAAAAAATTTTTTTTGTTCTACAAGATTATAATTAAACACCAAATTTTATATTCTATTTAAAAATTAAAAACTGAAGCCCTTGACTCGTGTGGCTCAGTTGGTTGGGCGTTGTCCCGCAGAGCAAGGGGTTGCTCTTTAAATTCCTGGTCAGGGCACGTCTGGGTTGCAAATTTGGTCTCCATCTCTCTAAAAATAAATAAATAGAATCTTTTAAAGAATAAAAAATAAAAAACAAAGAAAATTTAGTCAACTCTTACAGTGACTGAAATAGTAGTTGGTACTATTTTAGAAGTGAAGTTAATGCTCATTGCTTTTGTTATGTCTAGATTACGTGTTTGGGCTATAAATAACCTTAATGAGAATAATTGGCAAAATCACAACTCTAAACAGAGAGTAGATTAATTATTTTCACAGATTGGCAGTTGAATCCCTTGTTCTTTCACAGTGGAAGTTCAGTGAACACTTTGGTCATTTCAGAGGTAGACAAGTATGCTTTGTTCTACTTTGTGTAAGGTATTTTGGTGTGCCTTCCTTGTGTTATCCATCATCCTTAAACCTATTGGATTTCTGACAAGTGTTTGTAAAGCTTCTTTTCTTTTTTAGTAGGAAAAGGAACCATATTGAACACTAGCCCTTTCCGCAGAATCACAGCACTGCCTTTTTTCTTCCAAAAGCAGGTAGTCTGGAATGATAGGAAGGGTCCAGATTTTCCCTAGTAGTCATTTACTTCATCCAGGAGGTTGGAGAATAAGAGGCTCTGGGATGTATGTCTGTTGTTTCTGTTGCCTTTGTTATAATCACAAGGACATAGAGTGGCATGTGAATAATTTTAATGTAGTTCCTGACAATCCAATCCATACTTTTCCCTTGGAAAAGTAAATTTAATTAAAGAACAGTTTTCACCTAAAGTTTAGAAGAGAAAGGCCACTACCATTTTGTATCCATAGCTTTTTTAAGAAGGTGACAGCCATCTTGAGTGGTTTTGTAAAAGTGGTGCTAATGTGTATAACTCTAAATTTTTCTTTTTTCTCCCTTTCCCTTTAACATTTGCTTTTCCTTTCACTGTTGTCAGTCACAACACGCTGCTCTTGAACCTCTCAGCTGGTCTTGACTCGTGAATTTACTTATGCTTTCACTCTTTAGTAAATACATTAATTGCAAGCAGTGAATTGAAAACAAGACAAAAAAAAAAAAAAAAACGACCATTAGTGAATGGACAGTTTCTTACTTTGTGTTACATTTAACTGTTCTTTTGACAGCCCAGTTTTTAAAGCCAGGTTCGTATGGAAATGCTTTCACTCCACTTGCACTGCTTTTGGAAATAGCATACTGCTTCATCTGTCTGTTTATTTTAGTGCATTCATAATATAACACAGTCAGCATAATGTCTCATCTCCACTTAGCCAAAGATTGAGTTTTCTTAAATAAAAAAGGGGGCAGCAATTTTTGTCAGCATGGTTTAATACCTTAAATCCCTGTGCCAAGTACAGTTATAATATTAGTCTATTAAAAGATTAAACAATAATTTAATCAACCGCATCTTAGAGTCATTCTGCTTTCTTTGTCTTTTCTGTAGTTATTCAGTTGTAGGAGTTATAATATAAAATAAGGATTTTATATACAGGTAAGTTTATTTTCATAGTAGTATAATAAAGGCCTCTTTACCTTTTCATTTTCTGATGACATTGCTTGTATTAAGACTTTTATTTTTTATTTATTTTTTATAATGGGGTTATTTATAAATATTTAAGTACTCAGTACTGGTTAAGAGGATGCTTTTCCTGAAAATTCATTTGGGAGGAGAGAAGGGAGGAAAGAAGGGAGGAAGGGGCAGCAGAGTTAGATTAAGTATTTGTGATGTATAATAACATGGAAGTCATCACCTGGGATTACATATAATCATAGCATTTTTAAATTCAGTTCCTAGCAAAAAAATTTCTGGTGACCTTTTTTGTACCATAATGATTTTGTGTGTGCATGTGTGTATGGATGTCTGTATATATATACTCACGTGCACACATATATGTTTAAAACAGTATAGTATCTTTTGTTTTAGAAACAAGTTTTTCATTATCTTTTGCTTCATTTTTGTTTTTGAAAAAGTCTCCTGATCTCTTTTTCCCCCATCAATGAAGTAATCAGCTACTCAGCCCAGTTTTCCAGTTTGTATGCTATCATAAACTTGTAGAAGAAAATTGTCCTTCTAAAAAAACAAAACAAAAACAGAACATTGAGTAAGGGTTAATCTTCCACTTCTTTCTGTCAGAGAGGGTAACAACAGTAAAATAATTTTTTTTTCTTTCCTCTATAACTCCAAAGAGCATTTTATCATTGGTATGGAGTTAAATAAAAGATAAAAGCAGTTTCTATGAAATGTTTGATTTTTATACAGAGTTTTATGGTTTTGTTAGCTTTATAAATTGATTTTAAGAAATAGGAAATTATTTCCAAATGGTGATACCAGATTAGCACTATAAAATACATTTTAATACATATAGAACACTTTGTGTTTATAATTTTCAAATGCCTTTGGATAAGTAGCATCATTTTATGTGATACAGTTAATGGTTATTTTAGCTTTGTCTCTACTGCACAGTATTTGTTAAAAAAAAAAAAAGCAAAGAATTAGACAAAGGTATGCAGAGGTTTCTAAGATTGTGACTTCTGACACAAAAGCTGACATTTAATTGTTGTTTCTGGTGTCTTTTCATACAGTTTACATTGAAATATCATTTCCAATGTGCTCCTAGGAAGATGAGACATTATGTATATTGGTTTTTTCCTCCCTACATGCACTAATGGTTCTTTACTGTTAACTTATTGCTAGGCCTGTTTCATTCTAACATTTTAGCATTTTTGTTAGATTACATGTTGAAATGCATCACTCAGTCTGTGCTTGAGCTCATTTTATTTTTCTGTTAAATCAATTTAATTTCTTGTTTTACTAACCTCACTGTTTTTTCAGTTTAATATTGGCTGCATGCTAGTTAAATATTTATATTTTATATATATTTAAAAACCAATCAAGTCTAGCCTGGATTTTGCTCTGATTGTGTTTTCATTTCTAGTGGTGGGGCAGTCTTACACTTACAACTTACTTTGTATCATGAAAGCCTGACACATAAACAAAATAACTAAACACAATGTAGATTTTCTTTTTTAAAAAAATATCTTATAAGTGGTGCTGTCTAGGTGGTGGATATGATTGTATAAGTACCTTGATTTTTATGCTTTTTTAATGTTAGTTTAAAACTTCATAAATGTATTCTTCCCTCTTTTCCCCTTGCCCTTTTTCTCCTTTTAAAAATGTTATGTACAAAAGTTGCCCAGCACACCATCAGAAAGGACCCTTACTCTCTATATTCTTTCCATATAAAATACTAGCCAGCATTTCTTTTTACATTAATGTCCCGTTATTGGATACATTTACCCTATTAGCACCTTTTTGCATGCATATATGTAGACTTCTCTCTTGCTCATCACCTGTTTAAATATCACTAGGAAGGGAAGAATATATTATTGGAATATTTTTGGTTTGTCTCTCTGTTCTGTCTGTCAGGATAATATTGGACATCGCTTACTCCAGAAACATGGGTGGAAGCTGGGCCAGGGATTGGGAAAATCTCTTCAGGGTAAGTTTTTTAAATGTGCAAAAAGAAAGAAAGAAAGAAAACAATGTTTCTGATGCAGATCTTGTGCCTGAATATATTTGTCTCCTTTTTAAAAAAGTGTTTGGGTTTTTTTTCCATCTTCCTTCCCCTCTCCTAGAATAGTCTATTTTTCCTATACCTGTATTTTAAGTTACTATTAAGCTAATAATTTGTAAGATTAAGCTTCTATGTCATGAATACTTTCTGTTCAAACATACTGTCTATGGCTCAACCTGTTTTAAAACTTTTTTTGTCGAGTTGATGGGTGGATGGAATAAAAGAAATACATAGTAGCAGGGTATGCCTTGGGTGGAATAAAATAAATACATAGTAGCAGGGCATGCTTTGTATCATTTAGTGATGTTGCATTGTGGCTTCAGCATTATAAAGAGACTCATTCAACAGCAGAGTTTAATTTTTGTGCTAGTGCCCCAACCCAACCCCACCCCTGCCCCCATGCACACGTGTTCTCCCTGAAACTGGTTATTGCTTTAGCGCTTTTTCTCTGCAATCAGAGAAAAATTAACACATTTTATATGAAACAAAATGGAAGCAGAGGTTTCCTATGGCTCTCTAATACAGAAAGGCCATTTCTCAGGTTCAGATCAGGCTATGGAAAATGTATGGCGTAAAGTTTCCATTGCATTTATTTTTTTCTTTTAACTATATTAATCATCTGAATAAAAATAAAATACTAATATTTCTGCTTCCAAGTTCTTGCTGGTTGGAAACTAGCCAACTTTTTTCACTTTTTTTCTCCCTCATATTCAAAAGCTACTGTTTATTCTTTGCAGATGTGAACACTACCTCAGAAATGATGGGAATCATTGTAAAATACTTCTACATCTGGTTCTGAAGGGTCTCCTTGTGTAAAGGAATCTTTGGAGAGAGGCGTGTTACTGTTGACTATTTGTATTTTGGAAATGGATTTTCATAATTTGAATGGGAAGTCTTAACTCAAGTGTGTGTTAAGGGGCTCAGAGGAATGATAACTAAGGAAGACTTCACAGTGTAGTCTTAAGGAGGGAAGAATAATAGGTATTACCAAGTACAAGGTAATTATATTTGGCAGAGAGTCAGCATGGCTGGGTGGATCAGAGAATGCCCATAGGGCAGTGGATTTTATACATTTATTTTTTAGCAGAAGAACCTTCCAAAACATTTTTTAAATGCTGAACTTTAATATATAAAAAGGAGGGGGGAACCATAGTTATTTTGGTTGAAGTAGAGTTCTGCGTCTTCAGGAGTAGTTTGGAAACCATAACTAGAAGCAGTTATGGGAAGTTGGTTTGAATAGGCACAACTCTAATACTCAACTGAGTACTTACTGTGTATTAAACACTTACCAAATATCTCATTTAATTCTTACAACAAATACGTGAGATAATTACTGTTCCCATTTTGCAGAAGAAACAGGTTTAGAGAAGTTTAGTAAGTTGCCCAAGAATAAACAGTAAACAACAGTATCAGAATGCAGATTTTAAGATGGTGGCATAGGCACACATGGCTCACCCCTTTGCACAACCACATCAGAATTACAGCTAAAATATAGAACAATCATCACTCAGAAATGTCAGAAGTCAAGAAGAAACCATAGACACTGGTAGGAGGGGCACAGACGTGGAACAGGCTGGTCTCTCACCCACATGTGGTGGATAAAAATTCTGGAGATATATCTTGGGATCAAGGAGTCCCTGCCCCACACCAGGCTCCCCAGCCAAGGGTTCCAGTGCCAGGAAGACAACTTCTGGCTGCAAAATCCAGCGATGATTAAGTCAGTGGAAGAAACTGCTGGAGCCCCAAGCAGTTCCTTTTAAAAAATCCACACATGGACTCACCTACTGAGACTCACTCCCTCTGAGCTCCAGTGTCAGGGTAGCAATTTAAAGGGCACTAGTGGCATACTAGGAGAATCTGAAGTATTTGACACCAAGGCAAGCAGAAGTCATTGTCCCTTTTCTGAGCCATCCCCCTGCCCAGGCACAGAGCCAGCAGGCTGGTGTCATATTTGAGACTTCATCAACCTGAACGACACTGTTTGATCCATCTTGTAGATCCCCAGAGACTTCACCCCACCCAAGCTTCTTTTCCATATGAATAACTGGTCTTGCTTCACAGCTTCCTAAATCCTCTCAAACAAGCAACAGCTGGCCTCAGTGAGCTCCAGACTGGCACTAGCACTAGCCAGATTAGTTTCACAGCTTGGCTTTGCCTGGGAATCTCTAAGCCCAGCACAAGCAGCAGCCTTCTCAAATTGCTTTATAGCTCAGGAAGGGCAGCCCGGGCAAAACACGTGGGGGCTGCTGACCTTGGCCAGCACAACCTGGGAAACCCCAGGACCAGCGCACCCAGTGGACAGCTACAGACCACTTCATAGCACTGCTACCCTGCTCCTGCACAGCTTATCCTCCCCAGAGGGTGGAGGTTGGTGCTAAGCGGTCACAGCCGATCCTTGAAGCTGACTAGCCTGGGGAAATCTTTTCCATTGATCTGCCAACAGCAACCAAGACAACTACAAGAGGAGGATATACTCAGCACCACACATAAAGGGCACACCTTGAATACCCAGCTTGGGTGACGGAGGCTATGCCCCTGCACCCACCATACAGGACACCTATTACATTAGGGCACACTACCAAAACGGAGTCAGAGCAGCTTTACTACCTAATACATAGAAGTAAACACAGGGAGGAGATAAAGAAACATGGCCCAAATAAAACAACAGAACAGAACTCCAGAAAAAGCTAAAGGAAATGGAGGTAAACAATCTATCAGATACAGAGTTCAAAACACTGATTATAAGGATGCTCAAGGAGCTTATTACTGAGGACCTCAGCAGCATAAAAAAAATTCAGTCAGAAACTAAGGATTCACTAACTGAAATAAAGAACAATTCACAGGGGAACAGTAGTAGAGTGGATGAAGCTGAGAATCAAATCAATGACTTGGAACATAAGGAAGCAAAAAACAGCCAATCAGAACAGCAAGAAGAAAAAAGAATTCAGAAAAATGAGATGGTGTAAGGTGCCTCTGGGACAACTTCAAGCATACCAACATTCACATCGTGGCGGTGCTGGAAGGAGAAGAGAAAGAGCAAGAAATTGGAAGTCTATTTGAAAAAAATAATGAAAGAAAACTTCCCTAATTTGGTGAGGGAAATAGACATGCAAGTCCAGGAAGCACAGAGTCCCAATCAAGTTGGACCCAAAGAGGCCCATACCAAGACACATCATAATTAAAATGCCAAAGGTTAGAGATAGAGAATCTTAAAAGCAGCAAGAGAAAAGCAGAGAGTTACCTACAAAGGAGTTCCCATATGACTGACTGTCAGCTGATTTCTCAAAAGAAACTTCAGGCAAGAAGGGACTGGCAAGTAATCAAAGTGATGAAAAACAAGGACCTACAACCTTGATTACTCTGTCCAGCAAAGCTATTTGAAATGGAAGGGCAGATAAAGTGCTTCCCAGACAAGGTAAAGCTAAAGAAATTCATCATCACCGAGCCCTTCTTATATGAAGTGTTAAAGGGCTTATTTAAGAAAAAGAAGATCAAAGTTATGAACTATGACAACAAACAAAACTATCAACAACTGAATCAAACTAGGCAAACAACTAGAACAGGAACCAAATTATAGGTATGGGTATCATTTGGAGGGTTATCAGCTAGGAGGAGAAAGGGTGAGAAAAGGGGAAATGTTGTAGGGATTAAGAAACATAATCCCTACAAAATAGTACTTTGAGGGCAACTGAAGGTAGGAACAAAATAGCTGGGGGGATGTTAAGAATAGTATAGGAAATGAGAAGCCAAACTTAACATGCATGACCCATGGACATGAACTAAGGTACTGGAGGCATTGCTGGAAGGAAGGGGCACTGGTGGAGGAGGGCAAAAGGGGAAAAAGTTGGGACAACTCTAACAGCATAATCAGTAAAATATACTTCTAAAAAAACCCTCAGATTTTGGTCTTTCTGACTCCCAAAACCCATGCTGTTAACTACCACACAATGTGGAAGGCTTTAATGCTCCTCCAATTTGGAATTTCATTTTTTGTAGGCCAAGGGCAGTTTTTGATCAGAGGATAGTAATAGACTTTAATTTTTAATTTTTCATTTATTGATTTTAGAGAAAGGGAGAGATAGACATTGATTTGTTGTTCCAGTTACTTATGCATTTATTGGTTGATTCTTGTATGTGCCCTGACCAGGGAGCAAACCCACAACCTTGGTGTATAGGGGCGATGCTCTAACCAGCCGAGCTACCCAGCTAGGGCCGGAGAGGTATAGACTTTATAGCAAGAGATATTAAAGATGATTTTATCAAAATTTATTTTACAGATGAAGAAGTTTAGGTTTAAGTTTCCAAAATATACTAGTGACAGTGCTGAAACCAATCCCAAATTCTCTGATTTGTGATCTGTTCTTTTGAGTAAACAAACCAGGACATTTGCGACAGAAGTTAGATAACTAGTCTGGTTAAAATATGTCTGAAAATGAAGATGGAAAACCATTTAGGAAGTTGTTGGAGTATGAGTTGAAGGCCTAGAATAGAGTGATAGCAATGGAAATGGAAAGGAAGGTGTAAATATAAAGGATAATAACACAAATCAACTATGAAGCATAGTATACAAGGGGGAACCCCCAAAAATAATTGATAAAAAGTTGTGTATTCTTACATGTTAAAACTTCGGTTGCCTTCAAAGTACTCTCTGTTTGGTGCAATATGCCTATCAGACGTTTTTTCCACTGCTCAAAACAGTTTTTGAACTGGTCAATTTTGATGCCTTTTAGTGCCTGTGTCGTTTTTTGTTTCACCTCTTCCACATTGGTGAAATGTTTCCCTTTGAGGACTTTTATCTCATCTGGGGAAACAAAAAAAGACACTCGGGGTGAAATCGGATAAATAGGAAGGGAGGGGCACAGGGGTCATGCCACTTCTTGGTCAGAAACTGCTGAAGACTCAGCGCAGTGTGAGCAGGTGTGCTG